GGTTTACGTAAAATCCTAATCTTAGAGATGATTTTTCAAGTCAGCAATAATATTTGCTCGGTTGATTGAGATGCGAGCAAAATATGGGATCACGCTGTTTTTATATGTGGTGGTTCGTGCGTAAAGAATCCGAAATTGGGAACGGGTGCTCGGAGGAGAGATTAAGATGGGGTGCAGGCAGTGTTCTTCGTTGGACAGGATATGGCTGATAAATCGATCGCATGAGTCAAAATGCTTGCTCACAATAAAGTCAACCAAAACGGTCTTTGAAATGCCGCTGCAACGAGAAAGAAGTTTAAGACATCTGGAAAAGAGAATAAAGCTTGTCTCCTTCAGACTAGGAAAATATACAAGGGAACAGTACAACCAATGTGGAAGAATGCAAGCAGTCACAAATTTAACAATGACATTTGAGGGAACTCCGAGCACTTTAAGCCTAAAGGCGTAGTAAGATAGCTTACGAACCCCAATACAAATGTTTTCAACATGTTTGGACCAAGAAAGATTGTGTGACAAAGTGACTCCAAGATATTCCACAAAGTTAGCTTTGGAGATGGTATAACCATTAACAGAAAGTTCAGGCTGATCAATCAAAAGGGTTTGACAAGGCATGCCTGTTTTAAGACTAAAAGAAACATCCACAAAATTATCTACATTTAGCAATAAATATCGGGGAGTCGACCAACTAAAAATGTTATTGAGACAAACTTGAAGTTGAGAGAAACAATCGGGAACAGTTGAGAGACAGCCGACCATCACGTCATCAGCATACTTGCGGGCGATAAAGTTGGGAAGGATGGAAAGGTGCTAATATACAGTGGAAAAAGAAATAAAAACAAAATTGCACCCTAAAACACTCCAGAGTTAACTTCTAGCAGGGAGGACGATTTACCGTTACAAAAAGTGTATTGCGTCCGATGAAAAAAGTAATTAATTAGTACATTCAGTAAATTAGGTGCCAGACCACAGTCCGAAAGATATTTGCATAACCAAGAAACGTTAAACGGCCGATGCCAGCCCTTTATCCAATAAGGATGAAACGGAATGAACAACGTGAGAAAAGGCATCAATTTTGCAAAGCGAATGTTTCTAAGCAAAATGAATAGGGTCATTGGTGACATAAAAGGGCCAGCCGGTTAAGAAGGACTTTCAAAAACTTTCAATAATGCTGATGTGTCGGTCGATATTTGGAAGATCCTTTTAAGGAAATTGGGGTTATCCGAGCAGCTCTCCAACAATAAGGGATGCTACCCAATGACATACACAAATTGAGTAACTCAGAAACAGGTGAAGCAAGTCGTTAAGCACATTCTTTCAGTAGGAAGGGGGACAACGAATCAGGGCCATGTGCCTAGTTAAATTTAAGCGACTATATTACATTCAGGAAATCCACATGGGTGACAGATTGGTTCTACTCAGTAGATATAAATAAAGATGGTGTTGAGTTCCGTACAGTAGTATATGCAAATTGGCGGCTTAGCTCCAAAAATCCGGAAAAAGATCTGTGGCGTGATCCACAGAGCTGCTTCAAAGCAGACCACATATCACTGCAGCTCTGGTTTCCCATTAGAGTTTCGGTATATGTCCAATTTCTATTCAGTTCATTTGTGGACAAATCCGATCCAAGTCATTCACTTTTAAATTAAACAATGCTGGCTGCGTTCGCAAAATTGGCATTTCTCTAGTCATCATTTTACTACAACGTGCTAGGTGTGCACTTATTTTTAGTATTGTTCCGTCGAATGCTCCGTTTCCCCTCTCCCTTCCCTCCTCAGCTAGGTACTACCCCAGACTGCTGCATATCGTCTCTATGTTCCAGATTCGGTTTTCTTGGGCCTGCCGAAGGCTTGGGGTCCTCACCCACAATGGACAATTTGGCTCCGGCAATGGTTGTTGGGCACGGCTGTTTCCACCGTTTTGACTACATGCGTCCGCGTTCCAGACCAGGTTGAGGATCACACCCCCTGCCTCACCTACATGGTGTTTTAAGGTTAGGTGTCTAGCGTGTAGTCAGACCCACATCAAAGCGACCAACGCCTAATTAATCTAAATAATCCAAATCAGTGCTTGATTGAAGCCCCGAACCCAATGAACCTGTTTCCAGGAGCGAGTTGTATTGCAGCATAGAGTGAAACATTTTCCTTTACCGACATATTATTGTGGCTGTATTCCTTTCTTCCCATTCCTGTCCTAATGCCTCCACCATCAGGCAGCATTTGTTCCACAGACCGCCTCTCCGTATTTCCCCGCACTGTTGTCGTACGTCCAATCCTTCCGAGACCAGTTTTACCATTACTTCCAGTTCTAGTGACATGCATTTTCAATGCATCCTCCCTCTTCCTAAAATTCGTCGGTGACCTTATCCGGTTTGTGTTTCTTTCACACTGTGTTTTCGTTCTGATCCCCAAAATTTTTATTCCTACCTATGTACTTACAATGTTATTGTACATATACTCGCTCTGATCACTTGATCATGCCTTGTGCATGTCTCACGGGTTACGTGAAAAATACACATTATTATTTATGATATCTTTCGTACCCGTTTCCAAATTCCGTTCTCACACTCTGCATTATTATTTTTGGGTTCCACTGCCATTTTTACATTGCTGTACAATTGATCATGAAAACTAGCATGCTTCACGGCTTTCGTGAAATATACCATTATTATTAGTAGTAGTATTATAATTCGCTGTTTCTTGATAAAGTGTCAAAGCATCATTATTTGTCCCAAATATTTCAGTCAACTTGAATAGGTGAACATTCTGGATTTTGTGTTTGTCGGTTGTCATGTGGGCGATGTTACAGAAAGCGTTCGTTTTGGAGCATCGAAATGTTTAGAGAGATAGACATAAACGAGAGGAGCATATTGGTGATGAACGTGAAGAGACCGACGGTTCCATGATAAGCGCCAGTGATAAGGAATTAAATAGTTCATCTCAATAAGCGGGAAAAAGGGGAAGATCGCATAATACCATAGGCAAATAGACGTATTATTTCCTAGAGTCAACCAATTACATGCTCACTACCAGGAACATTGTCCAAGATCCCTTCTAAAAGGCAGATATTTCTGACATCTCTTCTGAACGATCCAGTAGTGGTTTTTACCTTCACTTTTCTCACCATCTGCGCATTTTCTGGTTTGTTGTATAAGGCCCAAAGGCCACTCATTCCTGGGTTTGTTTCCCATTACTACCATCACTAATTCTCCTGACTGAAATTCCCTATGTCTTGTATACCACTTGGATCTGATTTGGAGTAATGGCAAGTATTCCCTCGTCCACCGTATGCAGAAGCAATTGGCAATATCCTGCACTTCACGGCATCTACGGTTATAACGGTCTACTGTAGTTTTCACATCAGAAATCGCAGCGCCCTACTTCTAGTGGTACTACTATCATGGTCATGCAGTGGAAGATACATTCGTATCTTTTCTCCACGAACCGGCCCCGCTTAATATAAAATGGTCCGAAAGTTCTAAACCAACCAAGTTAAACGGCGATATTTGTCTACGCATTCTTTTTAAAAGGTACTTGAGTCATTAGCTGACACCCCGGCTAACACAGTTGCCTAGTACAGTGAACGCATTTGCTCAGAACTCTCTTCACTGCTGCACCACCTTTGATTTTGCAGAACCTCCTCCTATTTTCAGATAACACGTGCTCGGGCCTAAATTACCTTCATTCTCATGAAAGTGACCTATGAGAACTTGAAAGATACATGAATGTCTTGCGTCATGTGGCAAGTGCGTGTAATGCAGTCTAACACCAACTCGAATCTTTCCATTTACTAAAATTGGACACAATTTACGTAGGGGGCTACCCCTATGCACGTTTCCCTTAGGGTTCATTAGTGAAACCTAATCTTCTGAGAACGATTCTGCCTGAACTAGACGCACAACATTGTCACATGCAAGCTCAATCTCCTCTTTCTATAGTCTACTCACTCGTAGTGATAAGGCTTCTTTCTTTCCAAACACTTTACTAATATATGGCGTAAAGCGCATAAACCAAGCTGTTGCTCGCAACAGCTTATACCAATGCAAATTATAAGAAAGTAAATTGACGCTTATTGCGACAGTTGTTTGGTTGATAGTCACTGTGCGCCTAAGCGTATTCTTCCCTTCGATTTCTTCAGTGGAGGACAATTTGAATTGAGGAATCTCTCTTAAGCTTCTCAGGAATGGCGGCCCTTGAAGCCAACTTTCCCACATCGAGCCATCCGCCTTCAGACCACGAGTGCCGTGATTAATTGTCCACTTTACGTAATACCATTGCTGAGGTGTTGAGCTTTATGTATTACAGACAGTTGGTTGGCTATAAATGTGCTATAACGAGCTGATCTGTTGTTTATGTAATAAAGCACAATTATTTAATCAGTCCGGTAAAATATAGACCCCTTAGAAATATTCAACTCCCGGCTTATGGTATCATATAACTCAATCGTTATTACGGCGGCCGCCAACTCTATTCTAGGTATGGTAATTGTCTTACGTGGAGCCGCGCGTAATTTAGCCATAACCAGGTTACATCCAACATTACCATTTATGTTGACCCTCAAGTAGGCTGCGGCTCCGTAAGCTGATTCAGACACGCCACTGAATATTTGCAGTTGGGCTGACTCACGGGCTCTTTGGTTTTCACTCCCCATACACCTCAGCACCTTTAATTCCTTTAAACTGTTAACTTCACTAACCCAAGATTCCCAAGTGCGCCGGTTATTTTGACCTACTAGTTCATCCCATCCAAGTGTTTTGCGATGAAGTGTTTGTAACAATACTCTGCCCGTCAGAAGCATTGGAGTAACGAGACCCAGAGGATTATACAGAGAAGCAATATACGATAGCAGTGTGGCGGTTTTCAAAAGCTTTTATACACAATACTTTTCTAATTCCATTATCTTCCTTTTTTTGTCTCTTCTTTCTATTCGTGAACTCAACATTTTAACAGTTGTTTTAACCGGCCTCCTCGGTATCTTCGCGGTTTCGCTCCGTGATTTTCTCAATTGTTCATCGTTCACGTGTCCGTGTGCGGCTATCCTCCTGCTACCTCTTGATTATGAGCGCGCCAGCAGCTGATCCAGCTAAGAAGCCAAAGACTGCCAATCCCAAGGCTCCGGTATCGCACCCACCAGTCATTTACATTGTGGAGGTGGCCATCACCGCGGCCTAGGATCGTAAGGGACCTTCTCTACCCACGATCAAGAAATACATCGCCGTCAACTATAAGGTAGATGTCGCGAAGCTCGGACCCCATATCCGTCGTGGAATCGTACACGCGGTCGAGAATGGTGTCCTTGTTCACGTAGGCAACAAGGCCAAAGGTAAGTCTGGGAGGTTCAAGTTGGATGAGAAGAAGGCGGCTGAACACAAGCCTAAGACCGTGAAAAAGCCCGAGGCACCGAAGGTTAAGAAGGCTGCAACCCCAAACAAGCCAAAAGTGGCGAAAAAGCCGCTAAGCCTAAGGCCAAGACCTCGTCAAAGCCTAAAGCTGTGGAGGCCAAAAAGGCGACGCCCAAAAGGCCAAAGATTCCCAAGAAGCCTGCGGCTACGAAGGCGGCTCTTAAGAAGAATTTCCTGTTACCGGGATTTAGACAGTTAGTGCTGCTACAACGGAG